GGACAGGGTGTCTACGAAGCCACTTATTCCGAATTCCCCACTTTTCCCAAGGATTTCCTGACCATTTTAAAATGAAATGTTGACCGTTACTTTGGTTCAGAGGGTACTTAGTGGCTTGCGCTACCTAGTGACGTGTCGGGCACCGTTATTTAGTGCAGCGGCACTAAAGTGCAATCATTGGCTTTCGTTGCACGCTGCCGTTGCACTTTCACTTATAATTCTTACTGACTTTGAACTTTTTTATAGTTTCCGTGATATTACCCTGTCATTTCAATATAATCCGAATTTCTTGAGAATTTTAGGTTTTCTAGGTTGGTAGACACCCACACACTCTGTGTAACCCTGTGCATGGTTCAAGAGTGTGTGAGAACAAGCGTTGGCTTCGACGTGTTCCTGTGCAGTGTGACGGCTTGAAATAGAAAACTGGATTAATGTTTGGTTGTCTGAGGTATACAAAAGCAGATCAAACTGCGATGAAAGTTAAATCAGTGAGTCAGTATGGCGCTAACAATTCGCAACAGAGCAAATCGATAACCTTTTTCTAATGATTTTTTTTCTGTCCATTTGTGGCAGTTTCTTGCGTACTAGCGCTCACGTAGACAGTCAAGCTGTGGAGCACAATATGTTTGTGGCGAGCGCATGTACTATAACGAAATGTCTTAATTTTCAATCTCTTGAAGCATTAATTCATGTGGACATTCAAATGCAAAAGCCACAAGTTAAATACATGCATAGCCCCGCACTTCCACCTGTGATTGATATGGTTAAATCTAGTTACGAGCTCTCAACGTGAAAAGTGCAAGATAAATGCATAAACGTACCTTCTGTCGATAGTATTAAGCGAGGTTTTTAAGTGCGTGCATAGAGTTGTCCAAGCCTCCTTTCCCTATGTTTTCAACTCCATATCTCTATTTTTAAGTGGCATGAGGTTGACTTTTAAGTTCCTATATAATAAACTGTGTAAACCAATCTTGTGTCGTTTTGTCTCTCTTGGCAAACAAGCCATAGTTACAATAATAAGTATGCCTTCATAGACGTGCTGTAACACCGTGCTTAGTTGAAAAAGGTAGTAACTTATTGGTGGTTCCAAGAACTGACAAAAAACTGGTTCTTCTGCAAGAGGGATTACATGAGAGTGATTAATACAAACAAGCCTATGACGCGTGAAGCAAGATATGAAGGACGGTACATTTGCACGTACGTGGAACACATAAAAGAAGCATTTCAATTTCGCGCCACCGGCAAAAATCATTTACATTTTGCGCCAAAAACAATTGTGACGTCACAATCATGAGGAAATTGCGTCATTTTGTGTTCCTTTTTAATAAAGCGTCACTTCCTGGACGTCTCAGGCGAGCATGAGTAATGACAATGCCGCGCATCTCACAGATGGCGCTGCGCCCCATGAGCCGCGATCTTTGGCCTATGGGCTTCTATGGAAGCTTCGCTACCATCTATACATATACATTGCCGACACCGCCAACCGCCGACGCCGCACGTACGTAGCTTTGCACGTAGCTACGTCCGCCGCTGGGAGGCTGTTTATTATGTATAGAAGACGTCGAACGAGAACAGACGCGTCCTGTGTGCTCTCAATTCGGCTGAAAGGCGCGCGGCTCGCTGGGCTCGTCTCTCGCCTGCTCTCGGCTACTGGCCGCCATGTTTTTTATAGAACACGCCCAACCGTGTATCGCAAAAGGCAGACACGGTGTATCGTGTTAAGTTTACACGGCACCTTATGTGTAGAAAAATAACACACATGGCTGCGTGTAAAACGAACACGTTTCGACGTGTCCGCTATGGGACAACGGTTTACACGCCTGGGCGTGTCTTTTTTGCTAACAGTGTTGACATACACAAAGATCGTGTCAGCGATTTTTGAATTTTACGGTTCAGTTAGTCCATTTGTCTGCGCATGGTACGCAAGGGTTTGACGGTGGCTTGTGCTAGTGAGACGATGGATCTCTTGCGTCAGTTGGGCCATGCACAACGATTCACGGTCTGTAATGAGGACTTGGGGGTGCCGTGCAGTAAAACAATGTGCTCGGTGAAAAACCTGGTGACTTCAACAGCCCTGCCTTGTGATATCGGTCGCTACGACTATTCACCGGTTTCCTTTCGTCGATGGTGGAAATGATCCAAGTAAATTTATTCATATTTGCTGGAATGGGGCAGATGGCGACGCAATAGGCTGAATAGGTCCTGCCGGTATCGGCGGTGATTTCTTCCGTCGTTGACATTCGTGGCAAGATCGAGTGTAGTGATAGACGGTCTTCGCAAACTTGGGCCAGTAGTCTCTCTCGCATATCCTGGAAAAAGTTCTGCTGTAGTCAAGGTATCCCGCCGTTGGGTTATTGTCGGAGGCTCGAAATATCTGTTATCGAAGACTGGAGGGGATCACCTGCAGCCACGCCACGTTGTTGTCGCTTAAGTTCTCCATCTAGAGAACACATTGTCAGATGAAGAAGGTTGGTACCGTTCGAATAAAAACGGGAAGAACCGCACTTCCTTGTTATTTTATGTGATCAATGAGTCCTCACAGTTTAGGATCATATCTTTGGAGTGCTAGCATGTCACTGAGACCTTGTGCACCAAGGAAACACTCGTCTGTTTTGCCATCTACAATGCAGGGAGGACCGGCCTCGACGGGAGCCATTGACAGACAGTCGACGTCACTACTTTCGGCCGAACACGTACACGATGGTTATGTCAAACTCTTGCGGTCGTAGACTTCCCAAGCCGAGACGCTCTGAGGGGTCCTTCAACTTATTAAGTCAGAAGAGCGAGTGGTTGTCTGTAACCACTCCGAACCGACTTTTGTACAAGCACGGACGAAACTTGGTGATGGCCCCAACGACGGCGAGGGATTCTTTCTCTGTCGTAGCTTTATTACCGCCCGCCTTAGACAGTGTGCGGCTTGTATAGGCGATTCTCTCTCAGTTTTTTCCTGTATTTGGACCAGCAGTGCGCCAAACCCCGTGTTACTTGCGTACGTGTAAATTTATGTTTGTGAATGCTGGTCGATATGGCCAATTACAGGAGGTGCTTGAAGCTTTTGTTTAAGCTCGTATGGTGTTCTACTTTCACTGAAACTTTACGCCATCTTTTGTAAGGCACGTCAATGGCACAAAAAGCTTCTCGAAATTTCGAGCAAAACGCCTGTAGTAGGTAACTAAGTCTAGAAATCGTATTACGGCCTTTTTCTCCAAAGCATGAATAATGCGGCTACGGCGCCCATTTTCTCGGGGTCAAGACGAGCACCTTCGCTGCTCAGGAGGTGTAATAGGAACTTTAGCTTACCATTAACGAATCGACAATCCGTTGTATTAAAAGTTAGTCTAGCGGCCTTGATGGTTTGAAGTACGGCAAGATGTCGCCTTAAGTGTCCGTAGAAGTTGCTGGCAAACTCCACAACGTCATCGAGGTAGACGAGAAAGCTCTGCCATTTTAAGCCTGCTAGCACCGTGTGAATGGCACGCTGTAAGGCCTCCGCTGATGTGCATAGTCCGAAGGGCATCACTTCAGATTTGTAGAGTCCGTCGGGTGTGACAAATGTTGTTTTCTTCCGGCCCCTTTCGGAAGCCTCGATTTGCCTGTTAGAAACTCTTCAAATTCATCGACTCAAAGTATCGGAAATGGCGCCGATTGGCATAAATATCTTCAAGGCGAGGGATCGGTTATACCTGTTCTTTTTTTCTTTTTTTTTTCTAGAGCATTGAGTCCACGATAACCCCCATATAATTTCAGGGTCCCGCCCTCCTTTAAACGCACGACAGGTAAAGCCCATGGACTGCTTGAGGGCTAAAGGATATCATCCAGCATTTTCTGAGCCTGTTCTTGGCTGATTTCCTTTTCTTTTTAAAGAGACACGGTAGGGTGACTGGTAGACTTGGTGCACGTCGCCGTCGGTAGCAATGGTGCGATGTTTCGTCACTGGCGTTTCGCGAACATTCGGCGACCGTGACAAAACAGTCACTGTACTTAACGAGGAGATCAACCAGTTGCCGGCGATTTTAAGCTGGGAGGTGGGTTCATGTTGAGCTTCGGCGGCGACGTGCTATTGCGCTGCGACGACGATGTTTCCTCAGAGATTGCGGTGACCACGGCTGGCACTCGAAGCTCCTCGACGTGACCCACGGTGGTACCCTTCGTTAGGTGCTTCGGCTCCCCTTGATTGTTTGTCCCGAGAATAGTTTTACGTTCTTGTTGGAGATTCGTTACGTCTCGTGCGATTGCAAATCGTTCATAGCAGAAAAACCCAGAAACGAGGTGCTAAAAGGACAGAACAACACCGTCTCAAGAACAGCCAACCAAGGATTTAATTAGACACAATCTCCCTTCTTCTCTTCACGTCCCCTGGCCATCAGCAGGCGCCACATTTGAAGGTATCAAGTAAAAGAACACGTGAACGTCTGCAGTCTTAAGCGTTCGGTGAACATAACCTCTAGACCAAGAAAAACGGCGGTGTCTCATCGTCCAAAGCAAACCATTCGCTCCCAAACAACGGTTTGGTACAATTTTGTTATAAAAAAATAAAAAATAAAGTTTAAAATTAGAAGAAATCAACACACTGGACAAGAAACACGTGCACGTCTGCAGTCTTGACCGATCAGTGAATACATCAGCACTAGACCCACAAGAATGGCGGTGTCTCATTGTTCAAAACAAACCATTAGATTCCAATTAACTGTTTGGTTGAATTTAGCGTTAAATCAAAATAAAGAAAAGAATACTTAGAAACCGTCCCACTAGCCGGACAATGAAAATTTACTAGAGAGACAAAAACTTCTCTGTCTCTTCATCCAATGTCAAAGAGGGCCTACTATTACAATTTCCGGCGCTGGCAATACTAATTGGCTCCTTAATAACCCTTGTTAATGGATCTTTTTCTGTGCTAACAACAGTCGTCTCAGTCCAGTCAGGGTGACAATTATTGCACTCATTAAGATGGTTTACGATTTCATAATTGACCGAAGAGGAGTTAACCGCTATTTTGGGCTCTAAAGCCGGTCGTTAAGGCAACGGCCAGTTTGACCTACATACGAGAACCCACATGACAAAGGAAGTTCATACACTACTGCGTTCTCACAATTAATTAAAGGATCTCTATGATTTTTTTGGCAACCATGCTTGTCCCCCAAAAAGGAGTGAGCTTACTTAACTTAAAATCATTCTTGAAAAAAACGTTTACGCCATGGCTAAACAACGTTTACACCATGGCTCACAGAAAAGATGTGAAAAAAGGCTAACACACACACTTCTCAGGTTTCTTGAGGGGAACCGCAACGGAACCTTTAATAAAGAGAACATTCCTTAACACACTCACCAGGAGAGGAGAGCTCTAACCTGAAGCAACCAGTCGTGACATTTGAAAAGTAACTCTCATGATCATAATGAAAACAAGACTTACCTAAAGCATTTTTGATGAGGGAGGATACTACTGCTTTTTTCACTGCTTTCGTGTGGCAACATCGAAATGTGAACACCAGTTTCGGGGCATCTTTGCCATAGCTCCAGCACAATCCTTGAACTTGAAAAAAGTTTAAATTTGAAAACTGAGTACAACCAAAGTGCGAACTTCACAGGTGAAAATGAGTTCCGGATCTTGATTCTTTATAAAGGAAATCCAGATTAACACATCAGGTCCCTCAAACACGTAGATGAAAAATCGTCAACATACTGCTTATAACTACACTATTCGGCACCACTGATTGAACTTTTGAAACCACCACCTAGTCTAAAACAGCTAAATAAATTTCAGAAAGCAACGGTGCCAAGGAGAACCCGACACAAACACCCTGTTTTTGTGCGAGAACGTTCCTATTAACCTCAACTGCTGTTGATCTCAGATAAAGTTCCAGCAAACACTTGAAGCTTCCAACATCAATGCGAGAAGCAGCTTGAAAACTACCAAACTTATCATCATACAACTGACGCACCCGACTGGGGAGTTCAGACCTGCCCAAAGTTTAATAAAGATTTTTAATATATAGGGAGGCCAAGGAGCACGATCTGGAATGAAACGCGTTCACGAGACCAATCAACTGTTCCGAATTCATTAGAGACAGGACATTACCAAATGGGAGCGCGTTCAAACACGTTTGTAGGAAATTGGACATGGAACGCTGCCAACTACCGCTCTCATTAATGAAAATACGGACCGGGGAAGTAGGTTTATGGCCCTTTAGTAGGGACTTGACAGCTGAAGCGCCTTTCTTTTTGTCAGTGATCTTCTTTATCACCAAATCAAATTCACATTCCTTAAGAATGGCAAGGACGCCCTTTCAGATTTTTTGAATATTCTCACTACAGGGCTTGAACAGGGCTCCCATTGCACCTTGAACTTTTCGTTTCAAGGAAAGAACTGGCACTAATGCAAACGTCCCTGTCTTGTCCGTTTCGGACAAAACCAATTATTTCTGCTCCACCTCAATACAAACCTACCTTATCTTCCGGAAGTTTTCAAATCAAATCTATAAGAGTCATCCACTAGTCTGGATAATACCTTCATTGCCTAGGCTTGAAACGACAACTTTCTGTGCTGGCAACCAATTTTGCTACTAATAGCCTGCACTGAAGAAAAAGGTCAAGCCTGGAAGGCTTAATATTTGACAAAAACTTCGGGCCATTGGTAAGAACTGACAAAACAGGCTCAGGAAGGGAAACGTTAACCAGATTGATTACTTGACTTCCAACTGGATTATAAAGCTTTATTTTATCAATGCAAGTTTGCGTAGTTTCAACGAAAGGTCTTGACGCTAGCCACTCATCATGTACATTATGTCACTGCTCCGCCCATAAAGAGGCGAAATGCTGGGATTTCAACTTTGCCCATCACTATGTTAAAAAAAAAATACGAAAATCATTTTTTCTAATATTGTCGAAAGAATGTCACACACTAGCCGCACTTCTTTGAGATGTCGTAACGCCTTTTAGCTCCTTGTCTCTGGGTTTTTCTCCTATGATTCGTCACCAGCTCGCCTGCGTCTTTACACTACATTCGCCAATTCCTTTTTGAAAGAGAAGTTACACGCTGCCTTCCAGAAGAGATTCCTTGCACGTGGTTGCATTGGTTATGACGGTTAGGAAAGCACTCAACCGCGGCGGCGGGTTCAAATGGTCGGCAATATCTCGGATCGCGGTGGTCGTCGTACTGGGCTCCACCGGAGGCAGAACAGGCTTTCGCAGCGTTAACTTGTTTGCCCTGAGGTCGATCACGACGCCGCGTTCTCAGAGAAGGTACATTCTGAGGATAACGTCCCTCGCACAGTCTTTCAGAGCGAAGAACTTCGCGGGGCACGCCGCATCGTGGATCTCGACGCGGGCAGTGCATCTCCCGACTGGCGTGATGAGGGGCCCTATGGCGTTTCGTATTTGTAGTTTATCCCGCGGCGTCCTGACTTTTTGCGGGCGGGAGAAAGCTTCCCACTTAAAATTAAGGGGTCTTTTTTCCGGTGTCCATGAGCGCCGACGCGTCGTAGTCGCCGTTAACAACGATTAAAAACTTAGTTGGGAACCGTTCCAGGAGCGTCGTTACGAAGCGTTGTGTCCGGACAGTGGAAGTTCTCCTGCGTTCTTGAAAACTCTTTACTTCGGTTGTCTTTGGCAAAGCTCCCTCCAGGCGTTGCCGCAATGTTTTCCCGACGAGATTGCGGCGACAAGCTGTCCCGCCGAGAGTGACGGAAGGGCGAAAGTGCACGTTGATGAGAACGGGAACGAGAACTTCGTGGTAAAGTCGGTACCGGGATCAGAGGTCGGCGGAGTTACTCCTCGATCGCTGGTCGCTCGGCGCTAACCCAGGTTCCGGATCGCTCGTCCAAAAACCTCATAGGGACATTTGTCGATATGGGCACCTCCTGTAGACGTGGTGGACCTCGTCGCAGTGATAACAGTGGTCGACAATCTGTTATGTGCCACGCATCCATTTTCCTAGGTGCTGGTTGTTTGGGGCGGACGAGCAGGGGCTGTACTTCCCGACGTCTAAAATTATCCGGCGCTGGTACGGCACATCGAAGGGGCGTCGATTACTGTCGGACTGATGGTCCCGGTCGATGGGATATTGCGTCGTTGGTCAAAGTGGGCTCTTCGGGCGCTGCTACGCTGACAAGAGACTCCAGTGGGAATGCCCGCTGAACTTTCTCGCGGACAACTTCGGTAATCGACAGCGAAGCCGGCTAGTTGGCAGCCGGCTGGAGCTTCCTGAGCTCTTCCCAGGCAGCCGAAGACATCGAGATGACGTTGAAATAAGGTCCTAGACGATAGGCGACGTCGAAGTCTTTAACATAATTTTTTATCGACGGCATTGGTACGTCCACATGAGAGGTTCCGACAACGTCAAACACGCGACTTAGTGGCAGCGTCTAAGCTTCACCTCGACGCTTTCAACAGTAATCGACGTCTGTTCGACGACTTTTATAAGAAGTTCTTTTACCGTCGAGCAAGAGACGTCATAACGATTTCCCTAGCGACAGCTTGACGTCTTTGACATTAATCGACGTCAGTTCTACGTTTTTCCGGGAAGTTATTTAAACGTCGAGCACCAGACGTCCCAACAATGTCCTGAGCAGCACCTTGACGTTATTGATATTATTCAACGTCAGTTCTACGTTTTTTCGGGAGGTTCTTCGAACGTTGAGCGCGAGACGTCCCCACAATGTCTGAGCAACACCTTCACGTCATTGGCATTAATAGACGTCAGTTCTACATTTTCCCTGTGAAGTTCTTTGAACGTGGGGCACGAGACATACCGCCTATGTCTTGAGCAACACCTATACGTCATCGACATTGTTCGACGTCAGTTCTACGTTTTTTCGGGTGGTTCTCCGAACGTTGAGCGCGAGACGTCCCCTCAATGTCTGAGCAACGCTTTGACGTCATTGGCACTAATAGACGTCACTTCTACGTTTTCTCCGGGAAGTTCTTTGAACGTGGAGCACGGGACGTACCAACTATGTCCTGAGCAACACCTATACGTCATCGTTATTCTTCGACGTCAGTTCTACGTTTTTTTCGGGAGGTTTTTTGAACCTTGAGCGGGAGACGTCCCAACAATGTCTGAGCGAACACCTTGATCACCCTGAACAAGCGCCTTATAGGTCCCGATGTGCTGTCATATCACTTTTAATATTTCTCGTCAATGTCAGCATTTTCGATACTGTGCATGGAATCCACCTTTCAACCTGGCCTGAGATGTATAAATCTCTTACAATATTATAATTCTCGTCATTGTTGTTTTAGCAGGAATTCCTTAAACAGCCGAGAATTCACAACCGAAACCAGGATTTAGCTCGGAGACAGCGGGGCTGTTTATAGCACTTTTAGCGTTTCCAACTTAATATCAGCGTCTTTGAAGCTGTAAAAGAATGGGGAGGCACTCACTTGATCGACTGACGGTTTAGCGAACGCCCACGTTTCACCGAATGACACTTTATCGAATAGTCGGACGCCGCGAAGCGGCGTTTTCGGGTGGGCCAAGTGAGTTCACATTTTTGTAATAAGCCGCCACAGACTGTCGCCGCGAAGCGGCGTAAGCGCAGCGCAGCGGATGAGTTAACGCGCCCCTGTTATTCGCTGAAACGTCGATTCGCTCAAATGTCGCTGTTCGCAAAAACCTCATTCGCTCATGTGATATGGACCCAAAAGAATGATAATAATGTAAGACATTTCAGCAGCTGAGACAGACAGCATGCACAGTATCGAAAACGCTGTCATTGACGAGAACTCTAAGAAGTGATATGATTGGTTCTTGGGCACTATAGGAGGCTTGTTTAGGGTGACTCTGACTCACACAGAAAACAGTGTAACCTTGAGATTGATCAAAATTAGCGATCAGAAGCGTCGTGCCTTCCAGTTTTTCAGCGTCCCCTGGGGCCCTGATCACATCGCTGTCCCCGGGTCTTTTGGTCTTCGACATGGCGGCTTCGACGTCGTCAGCGGCGCCGTACGAGGCGCAGTGCTTCGTCATCAACGTGCCGGTGGACACGCCAGTGGACGCCATCATGGATGCGTTCCAACACGTGGTCGGCAACGCCGGCCTTTTGTACCTTCCGCGCCATGGTGATGCAAGGTTTATGGCAGCGGTTAACTCCATGGCCACTGCCCAACGTTTGATAGCACAGGGACACCTGTTGCTCGGTGACGTCCAGCTCCCACTCGAACCGGTCGGGGCCCACGTCGTCCACGTGTCGGTTTACCGACTCCCGCCGTACGTTGCCGAGGACGCCCTCGTCCAGGTCCTTGAGCAGTAAGGCGAGGTAAAGGGCTTGAGCCACGTTACCTACCGTGACCGACCGGACATCCGTATGGGCACGTGGGTGGTCAAGCTGGAGATGGCCAAGTCTGTGCCCAAATTCATCCATATCCTGTGCCACAGGGTCATGTTGGACTATCGCGGCATGCGCCGGGTCTGTAGGCGCTGTGGTTACCCTTAGCGAAAACTAAGACGTTTGAAATATACCACATTCTAATTTGAGTGTATTATAAGTATAGCTCATAATTGCAAGTACACAATAAATAGACCGAAAATATATACTTCCTTTTTTTTTACTTAGTGCTAATATATATTTCAGAAAATCTTTTTAAAATACCTTTATTTAAACTACATTTGAAGTTCCCTTCATGCGTTCTGAAATATGTAAATACTAAATTAGTACAACTCCAGGAATTTTGGACATGGGCGCGTCCTCACAACTTGCGCCATCTCTCGGCATCCCGGAAACGGGACTGACCGTAACTCAATGGGCGAAACCAGTTTATTTTTAATTGCTCAATACCAACGCAAATAATCAGCTTGCTCTCATTGGAGATCCATTGAGTTGGAATACTTACATCTGCAGACGAAATTCCAAACTCGGTTGACCATATTAAGTTTAGCCAAGGGCCAATCGAAAACTTTCTCATTGCGCCTATGGGAGCACTTGAAAAAAAGACCGTGTTTTCGTACAAGAACCCTGTCCTGATAAGAACTGTCGCTCATACATAATTGCTCTCATCGATAACGGGTACACAGTGAACTCAACTAAATTATGACGTTTTTTTTTCTTTGATCAATCCATATTACGACCGTCCATGAGCATTTCAGATATTTAAACGAAGCGCGGCATCTGTCTTTAAAGGTTCAGAAAAAGCATAAATGAGCGCATTCTATTAGTAATAGGTGCAATCACAAAATATTCACACAGTACATAAACAGTATCAGCAAACACACAAAACCTGCACACAGGTCTTAAAGGAGCTGTGCAACAATTTTTGTACTGTGCACAAATACCGCTTAAAACGGATCCCTGACGTTAATGACCTATGAAACACGCGTTCGTTTTTCACCCCACGCAATAGAAGTCCCAGAAAAAAATTTAAGAAAAACGAGCAGCGTTCACCCCCTCAACTCGCAGCCAGAACAAGCGGCCACGTGATCTGGAGCCGATTATATGCCGCCAGTGTTGATCATAGCCACGCGCTGGGGTTGGCAAAGCACAGGACACGCGCTGAGTTCCAGACATTGTTATGGCTCGG